CAAAACAATCCGACGTGACCGATGTCTACTAAAGGAGATACGATTGAGTTGTAGATCGTAATAGTCATTTGAAAATTTCAACCATTCTTTATGAAACTTGTTTTCAAAAAAAGATAAACCGTAACAGTGAGCCGTGTATGGAGCACATACAGGCCTTACTTGGGGTAGAGAAGTAATCTAGTAATTTAAACCGGCACCAACCTTGTAGTAATGTAAACACGGTTAACCTCTTACAAGCCAATAGGTTGTAGGAAGTACTGAAATTAGTTTTTTTACCCCTGACAAAAGGAGGTTATTGTAATGTCGCGTGAGTCAATCTTTGAAATAAATTACTTACAGGTTTAAAGTGGCGACGTAATTTTCAAAATCGAGGACGAACTGTTTTCTCCTATTTTGGTTTTCAACGACTTATTTTTTACCATCTGCTGTATATGGTCACGATCGATATTTACCCTCAGAATATCAATAAAGTAGTTGTTTAATAAACCTTTACACAACAAATTATCCGAAAATATTCTTAAAGGAAATAGTAGCATTAAAACGTCATGGCATTGTAAAGAATTCAACTCAGTCAACTGGTGTCGGTTGCTAGCGAGGATTTCTGTGGTGTACTTTTGAAATGAGAAATTGGTGAAGCGATCTGAGAAGGTAGTTGTACAAGCGGTTTTCAAGATATAGACAAGTCATGTTGAAATCATGTTAGAAGGTTATGACTCATCGACCTCTCATACTTATCAAAATCCGGAAACGCTTAAGTGCAGCCGTTGCCAGGGAGTTGAAATAAATTGACGCGTTACGTAATCTTACAGCATCGTACCTAATCACGTACGTTCGAGAACTTTATATTTTCTTTTTCTCTTTTTCATTTCACTGAAAATGTTCGAAAATCCAAATGTCACGAGTTCGAGTTTCACCCGGAAGAGACCTTACAAGAAGCTCTGACCTTATAAAAGTGCAAAGCCACTGCAAACTTGCCTCCCGATGAATGACTGTCACGCTTGATCACTTTATATGGCGTGAGATCAAACTTTACGCTGTGTCGACACAGAATGATAATTTCGGCGTCAAAGCTGAGATCCTTCCTGAGAAACTCTTTTTGTCTTGTGTAACACCAGGACTTAATTTCTATTTTGACTTTCGTAAATAACGTGACCCCGGTAAATCGGCGACTGAACAACACCCGGGGGTGAGGGAGTACTCTGGGGACATGCCGCTGAACAGGGTCATGCCTCATCGACCTCTCATACTTGTCAAATCCCGGAAACGCTTAAGTACAGCCGTTGCCATGGAGCTGAAATAAATTGACGCGTTACGTAATCTTACAGCATCG